TCTGCCTCAGTCAGCAAAATCCTTTGAACCATCTCCAGGTGGAGCTTAGATAATCACCATTTTGGAATGGGAGTCATCCACCTCACTTTAAAGAGGCATCTCATTGAGAAAGCATAACACTTCCCTCACTGGAGATAAATATTACACAATATTGGTCTTGTCATATAGCAACAATTATGATTTGCAAGGAAGTATGGCTCAGGAACCATATCTAATCGCAGAGAAGTTCTGTAATAAGCTCATGTGACTTCAAAAGTCCTTGTGTGGAATTTACTCATCTGTATTTGAAGGTATTTATTGCACGCTTATTACCCAACCACTTAGCCTTGTTTGCCTTTGCTCCTGTGAGTGCAGCCTCTGTCTTCTTGCTTGGAAATCCGAAGTTCTACAATAGTTGGAAATACGAAGTTCAACATGCCATACTTTAAAAAACATTTCTGTCAAGCTGAGTGAGTTGTAAGTGGAATTGCTTTATTTACTTACTTACTTGCATACAGAAGAGAAAGCACCACGATCAGTGGATTTACAACAAAATGTTCAGGCACATTTCCAGTTTCTGTTTTTTGTACCTAATGAATAATCTGTATTCTGTTATCTACTGAGTATTATAAGTCTTCAGTAGTTTTAAGATACATATTCATTTTTTTTACTCCACCTTTCTCAAGGATAGTTCACTAACCCTTGGGAAACCCCACACTGCTGATAGCAACTTCATATGAAATGGCATTTAAGAATTCAAGGGTGACTATGTCATTTCCCTCCCTAACAGAATGCAAGGACTTTAGTAATGCCTTTCAATGTTGTGTGTGTGTGTGTGTGTGTGTGTGCGTGCGTGCACGCGCAAGCACACTTCTGTAAACTTTGGCATTTTCCCAAGTCTGCTTATACCACTCTCCTTGGTTGGATAGTGTCCGTTTGCCACATAAGAATGGGTCATTAGAGAAAGGAGATTAAAAATAACAACATGGTTGTATATGGATTACAGACTAACCAGAGAAAAAGCCAATCTAACACTTCCTTCTAAAGTTATCAAACCACTAGTAGCATTTAGTATATAGAAACAATTTTAAATATCAACCAAACAGTTAGATGACCCTTTATCATTTATCTTTTTTTCCCTCTCTCTCCACCCCACATGCGGGCTCTTGTTAACTTTCTTGGAACCGGAGCAGGAGAATATAATGTGGTATAGTGGTTTGAGTGTTGACAGGTATGTTTGGAGACCAGAATTCGATCAACCATTGGGTGACCTTGAACAACTCACACTCTCAAACTTAGAGGAAGACAATGGGCAAACCACCTATGAACAAATCTTGGCAAGATAACCTCATGTTGATCTTATTTTAGCCACAAACCCAAAATAACATGAAGGCTAACAGCAACAATAAAGTTTACGTCTCTATTTGATTCTTGAGGTTGGAAACAGATAATAGATACTTCCCATACACACACAATAGAAAAAAAAGATAAAGAACACCATTCCACTCCTGCCCTAGGAATATATTTTCCTGGGATTATGTCACGGTAAATTATAAAGTGGAGGCAGCAATCATGACAGTCCTTATAGATTAGCAGCTGTGTTGATCTGTATGCATTTCTGTGTGTTGGCTGAAAGAGATTGCTACATCAGACTTCTTTCCATTATATCAGAGACTGCTCACAACATTATGGTTTCCTGTGAAAATCACTCTTCCTGTTACAGTGAGGATGACAGCTGCATTCAAAGGAAAGCCTGAGGGAGATGTCAGATGACTTCAACATTTCCACTAATCAAAGTTTTTTTTTTGGACATTTTGACCTTGGAAATCTTCTTTCAAACACTAGTTTCTCAGGAATATGTGGGCAAATTAAGGCTGCCTTACAGATGTTGTTGGAGTGTAACCTTCAGCATGCTTTATCATTAGCTCTGATGGTTTAGGTTGCTGACATATGCAGTCCAAGCATGTTGATAGGCTGCAATTCACCTTTCCACTTTTCCTAGCACTGAGGAAGAGGCATTATTTGGTTCCTCCTTTCTCTGAATTCACTTTTCCTGGTGCTACAATCCAGTCACTTGCCTTTGCATAACTGTAGTGGCGGTTTGAAAAAGAGGGAAGGAAAAAAAGACATTTTGTGGTCACTTTCACAACTATCTAATACAGCTATATCTTTGGGTGTGATGAGGAGTAGTGCAGATGGTTGTTATCATATATAAAATGTTGGGTCTCAGCTGTTTTGATTTTATCCTCTAAAGCTCCCCACTTTTTGGTGGATGAGAAATGGCCAACAAGTACCAAGTGCTGTAAGCTATATTTCAGAACAAGGAATTGGTAAAACCATCAGAAATACTAGGAAATTAATAGAGTCATCATAACTCAACAGTGGAATTTAAAGTACATACAAACATATTTAACCCCTTTGTTCTTTTCAACTGGCTTCTGTGGCTGAAAGGTAGAATAAAATAAAACTTCAATATGTAGTGATTTCAGCTAGGACCGAGGTTAAAGGGTCCTAGCTGAAATCACTACACATGGATCTGATAGCTATCTGGCTTGGGAAATAGCTGGAGGGATCTTGACCACAGTCTCCTTCCCAAGGGATTATACAAACTGGGTCACAAACTGGGCTGTCTTCAAGTTATATTTGATACATATATTTAGAGGACAGTTTATACATTCTATATAAGAAATTGAAGGAGAAGGAGTGAGGGAAGAGGGAAGGAAGGACAAAAAGGTAGAAGGGAAGGAAGGAGGGGTAGGGAGGGAGAAAGAAGGAGGTAAGGAAGGAAGGGAAGGAAGGAGGAAAGAGAGAAAGAAGGAGGAACAGGATGATGAGAGGAGGGCCTGAGAAAAGAGCCCAAGGGGCTGCATCCGGCCCTTGGTCCTAGGTTTCCCCATACCTGAGCTAGATTCATTTTGGAGCCCATAACGCTTTGGAATTTTGGAACTCTGGACTTCCAAAAAAAGGTTTTTAATAAAAACTAAAAATCATATATTTGCTTGTAGTTTCCTGATGAACTATAAATTTTGAGGGGTGGGGGTATTGTGGCTCAGTAATATTCAGATTGACTGCAAATAGTCTAATCCAGGAATCATGCGACACATCTGATGTTGCTGAACTACAGCTCCCAATAGTTGTAACCAGACAACGGTGAGAAACTTGGAATTGTATTCCGACAACATCTAGGCAACTACACACGTTCCAACTCTGCTGTAATCCTGGCTATGTCTATTTAATAAGAAATGGGGTTCACTAAGTTCATCAAGGGGAAGGATTTAATTACAAGGATGCATGATTCACACATTAACTTTCAGAAAAGGAAGTAAGTGCATATTAAATACATTTAAAGGTAGAAACTGCTCATCCATAGAAATAAGTTTTCAGAATAAAGCAAAAAAAGAGAATAGGGAAAATGAAGTACTTTGCTTTGACAAATTGGTAAGATTTGGTTGCTGGAAGAAGTGAATGAAGCATTTTGAAAGAGAGATGCACAATATCATCATATATAGTCATTTAACATTTAACTATAATTATAATCTGTATATTTTAACTATAGGCTTGCTTTTAAATGGTGTTGTATTGTTTTATACTATTATATTGTGTTTAAAACGGTCTATTTATCTTTATATTGTTGTGCTTTATTAAGGAGCTCCCGGTGGCACAGCGGGTTAAACCGCTGAGCTGCTGAACTTGCTGACCAAAAGGTGAGTGGTTTGAATCTGGGGAGCGTTCTTGCTGTTAGCCCCAGCTTCTGACAACCTAGTGGTTTGAAAACATGCAAATGTGAGTAGGTACTGTTCCAGTGGAAAGGTAACAGTGCTCCTTGCAGTCATGCTGGCCACATGACCTTGGAGACCTTTTACTATCCTTAAGATCAATATAAAATCACGTCTGTGGCAACCTTTTGAATATCTCCCCCTCTTTATCAGGCACAGATGGTACAAACATTGGGAATGGGGAAAGAAAAAAAATCCTAAATAGGTGGCCAGATGCAATGGTCTTTTGTGTCTGCCATCTTTTCTTCCTGCTCCTTCCTTGCATACCCCTCTTTACAGACAAGTAGCCAGGGGGAAACTTGAGGGGCTTCACCCCCCCCCCCCGAAATTCTCATGGTCCGCGAGAAGGCCTTACTGGTACATTATTTAAACTGTTATGTTTATTCATATCATGATCTGATCCCATGCTCAATATATCCCATATGCATGGGGGTATTGGGGTAACGATACAAAAGGTTTGCTAGGCTAGACCCTCTTTCAGTCAGACTCAGTGCCTCCCCCCCCCCCCCCCAAACAAAATGCTGGCTATGGGCCTGCATCTGAACATTAGGAAGAACTTCCTGACTGTGAGAACAGTTCAGCAGTGGAACTCTCTGCCCCGGAGTGTGGTGGAAGCGCCTTCTTTGGAGGCTTTTAAACAGAAGCTGGATGGCCATCTGTCGGGGGTGCTGTGAATGAAATTTTCCTGCTTCTTGGCAGGGGGTTGGACTGGATGGCCAATGAGGTCTCTTCCAACTCTATGATTCCATGAATTCTATTACTGGTAGAGTTCAGAATGCTCTTTGATTGCAGGTTAACTATAAAGTCCAGCAACTACAACTCCCAAATGACAAAATCAATCCCCTCCATGCCCACCAGTATTCAAATTTGGGTGTATCGGGTATTTATTATCATTATTATTATTATTATTTACAGTATTTCTATACTGCTTTTCTCACCCCTAGTGCCAAATTTAGTCCAGTGAATGAAAATACATCCAGAGTGTCAGAATTTTCCATTACGATTCCTAACAGTAGCAAAATTAGAGTTGTAAAGTAGTAACAAAAATAATGTTATGGTTGGGGGTCACCACAACATGAGGAACTGTATTGAGAAGATTGAGAAACATTGTTCTACAGCTTAGATGCACCCCAGGCTGCAACAAAATCCTTGGGACAACTTTTTCTCGCCTCTTCGCCTGAGCTGGGGCTCGAGCGGTTCAGGAAGGCGCGTGCCCGCGGAGAGCGCGCGAATGCGCGCTCTCCGCGGGCACGCGCCTTCCTGAACCGCTCGAGCCCCAGCTTAGGCGAAGAGGCGAGAATTGGGGAAGGTTTTTGACTTCTCCGCGTTGTTTCCACAGCGAAAAGAGGCAAAGAGAGAAGGTGAGGGGAAACGGAGGGGAGGTGGAGGAGCAAAGAGGAGCCTCCTCCTCCTCCTCCTCAGGAAGCTGGCATGGGAGGGTCTTCTTGGGAGAAGTCAGGACTCTGGTGAGAGAGGAGAGTTTGGGAGGCTCTCTAGTCCTGGAGCCTCCCATGCGTGGCGGGGGCTTCTTGCATCTCTTCTCAGGGGGCGGTGGTGGCACTCACCCGCTAACTTTGCGAAAGAGAGGGCTGCCCTTTAAGTGGGTGCAGGAAGCAGTGTCTCCAGTTCTTATTTGGCAGGGAGGCATCTCTCTCTCTCTCTCTCTCTTTTGTCTCTTGATGTATATACCAGGCATCCTCCAACTGCGGCCCTCCAGCTCTTTAGGCCTCCAACTCCAGTAGCCCCAACGAGCTTGTTCAATTGTCGGGAATTCTGGGAGTTGAAGGCACAAACAGTTGGAGGGCCGCAGTTGGAGGATGCCTGGTATATAGGGTGTGCCCTTCCCCTCCAAATGGATGCCCCTGAGTAGCTTACATTTGTGTTTTGTCTTCTCTAAGAGGGACCTCTGGCCAAATGACACAAGGAACTTGAAGTGAGAATTGCAGAATATTGGAAAGGGGAAATGAAAATACAGATCAATCAATGGTATAAAGACGTCTGGAAACTGAACGATAAGCTAACATCAAACTTAAAAGTAACGAAGGGATTATGTAAAAATATGACTTTGAAAGTATTTGGAGAAAATGTCTAGAAAAAGTATTGGGAAGAATTGAACTTTTGGTGGGACTTTAGAAGAAAAGATGGCTCTGGAGAAGGGGATCACAGGGGTGAATGTGAACAAAAGAAGAGGGAAATGTATAGTATATGTCTATATAACTATTTTTTCTCAAAGTTTTATTAAAAATAATAATTAAAAAAAGGGACGTGAAGTGAGGTTGGCAGCTCTGCTCCGACAAAGTCCTTTGGTAAGCAGGGATCACCCTTTGAACCCCTGACATAACTGATCCTTGAAGATGGAATGTGTAACTCCCATAAAATCATTATGATAATAGCTGGTCTTCAGTAGAAACATATTTACTTAGTTGTTAAATAGTCACTGTAGCTCAGGCATGGGCAAAGTTTTGGCCCTCCAGGTGTTTTGGACTTCAACTCCCACAATTCCTAGCAGACACTTAAGCTGAGGGGGAAAAGGAAGGGGCCTGAAGCTGTTAGGAATGGTGGAAGTTGGAGTCCAAAACACCCATAGGGCCAAAGTTTGCCCATGCCTGCATAGCTACTATTACTTGTTAATAAGTGCATACATTTCTGGGGACACTAATCTACATTCTCATTGTATCCAAGGAAGTGGGTTGATACAAATCAGTTTTTAAACTGTTGCTAGATTTCAGCCCCTCCTTTTTCCTGCTTTGACAGACTACCATGTCTGCTTCTTTCAAAACTGTTGTGCTGGAGGGATGGTTGTTTGTGTTTCCTTGCTTTGACTTGTGTGGGCACTAGGCATGGGTAGGTACAGTCATAATAATAATAATAATAAATAATAATAATAATAATAATAATAATAAACTTTATTTGTACCCCGCTCCATCTCCCCAATAGGGATTTGTTCTTTAATCTTCTTAAATCGTTATTATTTCAGGAAAAAATTAGCTTTTGAACCAATTTCGAGCCATGCAGGAATAGTGGGAGGAGTAATTCTGAATTTAAAGCACTTACCCATTGTTCGGAATTATTTTCGGATGTCTCCCACAGTTATTTTGATTTTTAGAATAATTAAGCAACTTTGGCAAAGCCTCGCAGTTTCCATTCTTGAAGGCCATGTTTTAAAATCTTGCAGTTTCCCTTCCCTGATAGTTTTAAAATCTCGCGGTTTCCCTTCCCTGGTGGCGAGCTGCCATGCAGAGGGATGAGGTAGGCATGGCTAAGCACAGCTCTCCTTGAAGGTCACTGGGGGCGTGGCCTTCAAGGAGAGTTGTGCTTAGCCACGCCCACCTCGTCCCTCTGCATGGCAGCTCGCCACCAGGGAAGGGAAACCGCGAGATTTTAAAACTAACAGGGAAGGGAAACAGAGATTTTTAAACTGTTTGTTTAGGCTGACTTTGTCAAAGTTACTCAATGGTTCTGGAGGGAGGGGCACCTTCCATTAACGATGCAAACGAAGCGATTTGGATTTCGTGCTATTTCTGATCTTTTTTTCAAGAAAATTTCAGAAATCATTTTAAAATTGAATCGCCACCGCCCCCTATATACGAAACGAGTTTAGAACCATTTTTTTTCTTGATTGCCCAAGCCTAGTGGGCACTCTTGAGGCTCCCTCCTGAAGAAGTGAGAGGAGATTCTCTCCTTGTCTCCCCATGATTTTTCTTCTTGACCCTTTCCTGCACGAGAATTCTGTTTCTCCCAATATTTTTTTTTGTCGTGTCAGGAGCAACTTGAGAAACTGCAAGTCACTTCACTTCAAGTTGGCTGTCTGCAAGGACGTTTCCCGGGGATGCCCGGATGTTTTGGTGTTTTAACATCCTTGTGGAAGGCTTCTCTCATGTCCTTGCATGGGGAACTGGAGCTGATAGAGGGAGCTCATCCGCACTCTCCCCGGATTCAAACCTGCGACTTGTTGGTCTTCAGTCCTGCCAGTGCAGGAGTTTAACCCACTGCACCACCGGGGGCTCCTTCCAAATGAAGGAGGGCATAAAAACAGAATGTAGCCAAGTAGACAGTGACCCATGTATGAAAACAAAATTATACCATATCTATCCTTAAGACAGGGCCCTCTGGTGGCACATTGGGTTAAATTGCTGAGCTGCTGAACTTGCTGACTGAAAGGTCAATGGTTCAAATCCAGGGAGTGGGGTGAGCTCCCGCTGTTAGGCCCAACTTCTTCAAATCTAGCAGTTCAAAAACATGCATATGTGAGTAGCTCAATAGGTACCGCTTCTGTGGGAAGGTAATGGTGATCCATTCAATCATGCTGGCCACATGACTTAGGAGGCGTCTATGGACAACACCGGCTCTTCAGCTTAGAAATGGAGATGAGTACCGTCCACCAGAGTCGAACATGACTAGACTTAATGTCAGGAGAAACCTTTACCTTTTACTATCCTTAAGATCAATATAAAATCACATCTGTGGCAAGCTGTTGAATATCTTCCCCTCTTTATCAGGCACAGATGGTACAAACATTGGGAATGGGGGAAGAAAAAAATCCTAAATAGGTGGCCAGATGAAATGGTCTTTTGTGTCTGCCACCTTTTCTTCCTGCTCCCTCCTTGCATACCCCTCTTTATAGGCAAGTAGCCAGGGGGGAGGCTTGAGGGGCTTCACCCCCCCCCCCCCCGAAATTCTCATGGTGGTCCGCGAGAAGGCCTTCCTGGTACATTATTTAAACTGTTATGTTTATTCATATCATGATCTGATCACCATGCTCAATATATCCCATATGCATGGGGGTATTGGGGTAACGATACAAAAGGTTTGCTAGGGTAGACCCTCTTTCACTCAGACTCATCGCCCCCCCCCCCCCCAAATCAAAATCCTGGCCACGGGCCTGCCTCTTTATTTGTATTTTTTTCACCCCAAGTCTTCTCAGTGTCTGTTTTTGTAAAAGTATGTCAGGGCATCTGGGAATACTTTCCTAGGACTGAAGCTTGTATAGGAGGTGCCTTGTTTTTAAAGTCGTAAGTCCCCCAAATATAGCCTTGCTCTGAGTCATGGCTTCTCAAATGGTGAGCCCAGACCCCCCTTGGCTGAATGTTGGAGTCATGAAAAATTTGGCAACAGTAAAAGGTTTCTGAGTGTCGCCCACTTACACAAACCTCTCATTAACAATGTACAGAGTTTGGGTCATGATATGACCAAATGGAAACTATAACTTACTATAGTTTTGTTTTGCTTTATAAAGGGAATGACAATATTAATATGAAAAAAATTTCTCTTAATGCAAATGTTAACATATTTTCTGTTAAATTGTTTTTTATTTAATAATGAAAACTAAAAACAACAACAAAAATCAATGTGCAGAGTTTACAATGGCAGTTGCAGTAAGTGCTTCAGCTGTACTCCACAAAAAGAAAATTAGCCTGTTCAGAAAGCCTTGCAAATGCAGATTTATTATCAGTAAATGTTTGATTGGTATGCCTAATTTATATAGCTATATATCCGAGATCATATAAACATTTCTCGAACAGAAACCAGCTGTGGAAAACATTTCAGAAGCCCTGCTTTCCAGCTCCTCCTCTCCAGTCTCACATGTGTAGCAGCTGGTTACAGTTGTTTCTTAGACAGCAAATTCTCTCTCTTCTCAGTTGTTGCTTCTTATGTTTCACAGCTGAGCCCCATCATAAAAAAAAGAAAAAACAAGAGCATAAGCTACAGGGCTGAACTCTTGGGAGTTCTGATCATAAGGCCTTCGCTGGGTTTTCTGTGTTTTCTATATTGTTAAGAAATGTGGAATACCCATTTTGCAGATTGCCTATAATGAGCCACCCCTTTTTTCTGCTCAAGAAAAGGAGAGAAGCACAGGAAAAAACCCTCTGGGTTTTTTTTTTAAACAGGCATGTTTTAAATTTACTCTCTGTTTGGGAAGAGGCAGTAATGTCTTACCAATCAGAAGGGGAAATCTGAAACCACTTCAGCTAGGTGTACAAAAATAAAGTACAGTAAGAAGAGATTGCATGCTTTAATATCTGCCTGACTTGCAGGCTCTGAAAATTTTCCCATACAACTTTGCTATGTACAGTATGTTTTCTGTTTATCTAAATAACTAGAGGAATAATATACCCAAACCCATTTAGGGATAATGATGACAAAATGGGTGTTTAAAGCTCATCCACACTTAACAGCTAGGAACATGCAATGTGTATTTTTAAACATGAATTTTAAACTCGTGTCCTGTGTTTGAATCTCTGTCCTGTGTATTTAATGCGCATTTTATAGAAATACGTTTTAATATGTATCTTTTATAGAACTACATTTTAATATGTGTGTTTTTAGAATGTTTGCAATGTTTGTGTGTCTAACTGTGCTG